TTCTCCTACCTTAATACTATCCAATCCACCCCACCAAACATTTCGTACATGCAATTTGAATGGAAAAAATTCTTAAGTTAGAAGGTTTTCAATAAAATAAAATAAAATAGAGTATTCCAATGAACTTGAAAATGGACTATTATAAGTATAATATTTTGAGTATTCCAATGAACCTGAAAATGGAGTATTGCAATCTAAGTTAGTTAAGCATAATATTTCTGGAGGGTCGTGTATCATTAATGAACAAAGAAATAACTTGAAATTCTGACCAGGAGAGCTCCCTTTGCAGCTCGCAGGGCTAAATAAGAACAGGGCTTGAAGAATTCCCCATACAAATTCGACCGCTCTTCCAATCTAGAATAAATGTATTTAGATCCAAGAGTATCAGCCCAAAACATGATTCCTCCCCTGGTCGATGAGTATTATAATGATTTATTTTTTTAAAATAAATATTGAATTTTAAATGAATTCTTTCCAATTCCATATAGTAAACAAACCTGTAAGGAGAAAATCCCATGCCCATAACAGCAGGTATGTCCAGATCGGCAGCTTTGACTACAATACTTTCATCGAGCACTCGACAAGCCTCATTCACTACAGGAAATAATATCATCTCCACAATATCCTTGTCCGATAATTTCGTCAACTGGATGCAAAAGTTTAAATCAAAAATTTCAGAGGTTGAAATATCAAATATACAAATCATTGTAATAGCAAACCAGTAAAAATGAGGGAGTAACCTTTGGGTCAATGGTGACACCGGCAATCTCCCTTGCCTTCTCAACATACTTCTTTATTTCTGGATCTGGGTTGGCTCTACGTTTTTCATCGTATAAACATAGAACCCTCTGCGAGTAGTTTCACCTAAAGCAAGAGGAATTTAAATGAAACACTTCATTTGCTAAAAAATACATTCTGTTATAAATTGGTGCTCCAATCTTCAATTCCGGGCTCAGTTACTATCAATCAACCACCACAACAAACCAAATTCAAACCAATCTTCCCAAAACGGTTGCTCTACGGTTTGCCTTCAAAGGGCTGAGTGTGAAGAGGTTATGGGAGCTCTCGGGTAAGCCACAAAGACTAAGAAAGGAGGAGAAGACAAAGCACAGGAGGCACGAAGCCTAGGAGGAAAGCACGAAGCAAAGGGACTATTCTTTCTCTCAACACACGGCTGTCCAAACTTTCACGAGAACTGCTACATGTACATAAATCTATACATATTGATGTCCATAATTACACATGGCACTGGATCCAACCATTAATTCAAATATCACATTTTCACATCAACAACAGGATTTT